CAGCGGGGCCGCTCCGGGCCGAGCCCGAGCGCCGCGTGCCCGGCGGGCGGCGCGGGGCGCGCTGCGGGTCCGGCCCCTCGGGGAGCCCCGACCCGGCCGCTGCTCTGCCCTCCCGGAGCTGGGGGGCCGCGGAGCCCCGCGCCTCTCCCCGCGCGAGCGCTCGTCCTCCCCGAGCCTGCGTTTGAGCAGCGTGGGAGCTTGGAGCGCTTGTTGCCTGGCTTTGGAGGGGGACCAAAAAGCCTCGCGAGGATGAACAGTCCCAACCACAACAACAACAGTAAATCCAAATAAAGGCAGGGTGGAATCTTTTTAATTACACCCTCGCGCCTCAGCCTGGTCCCTCCCTGCGCTCCTCCTGGTGCATTTGTGTGTGGTGAAAAGCCTCCGGTGGCGGCAGTGGAAGGACGGGTTGTGGAGGTGGTTTTCCACTTGCTGGGAAGATGGGAGAGATTCAAAACTCTTCTCGTTTCTTGTGCCTCTGAGAAAGACTGTTTTTCTGAGCTTCGTAGCCCCTATGAATCACCATGTGCATCACGTTATATGGGGAGTGCTATTCCCAGCGCCTTCCCGGGGCTGTGCAAACTGCTCACGCTCCTGTCTGTTTGTACATGCAACACGCAAAGCCTTTTGCCCATAAAAACTGCTCTGAAGCAGGTCAAGGGAGAGACAGGGCAGAGTGAAACGTCGGAGCGTGTTGGCAGGTGGAGATGTGTGTTTGGGAACAGCCTCTGTAGGCTGAAACTGTTTGGGAAGTGACTTGACGTGCTGGTGCCTGCCATGCAGGGTCCGGAGGGTGCCCGGACAGCGGTGTGTGCCCCTGGCACGGCCTCGCGCCTCCTGCGTTGCGCTGCCAGGGGCTATTTCCAGCGGTTGGCACCCTGGGAGACTCCCTGCGCAGTGGAAGGGCTCCCAGGAGATGCTCGGGAGGGCTGTCCTAGGCAAGAGGGGCTGGCGGCAGCGGGTGCTGTTGTGCTGCTGCCTGCAGCCGCCCCCGCGGGAGCCGGAGTGCTGCGCGGGGAGAAGCTCCTTGTTGGGAAGGACAATTTCATTGTGTGGAATGACAGCCCCGCGCGCCCCGCTCGCCTGGAGCGACAGCCCCGGTGCCGGCAGCGCCGCTCGCCGCCAGCCGCCCCGTGCCGTGCCGTGCCGCCGCTCGCAGGGCTTGGCCGCAGGGCGCGCGGCGCTCCGGGCCCAGCGCGCGCAGCTCGCGGGGCCGTTCGGCACGGCGGCCCACGTTTCCTCCTGCTGCATGGTGCAAATCCTGCAGAGAGTCTCCTCGGGACTCATCGCTCTGCTGCTTTTATGCACGGGGGGCAATTGCTGGGAAGGAAGCGCTGGTTCTGGACCGTTCCGCAGGCCTCTGAGGAGGCTGCAGTGATGGGGAAAGGATGACTGGAGTATTGGGACCGCCTCAGACATCACCCCACAGTGATGACAGCCATGTCCCCCATGGCCAGGACCAGCTACCAGCGCTGAGCTCCACATCTCTTGGCCATGGACCTTCCTGAGGAAACTACTGACTGCAAGGAAACTTCTGTTGAGTGCAAGATCTGAACTTTTTGACATTTGGTGCCATTTCAGTGCAGATTTTCAGGTCAGCGGGACCTGTATTTCCCATAGAATTTGACAGAGCTGCCACACATTGTTTGGTTTTGTTTTTTTCTTCTTTTCTTTTTCTACCTATACTGACTGCAGTCTTTCCTGGAGAATGCAATGCTCCTAAAAGCAATGGGGTCCAACAGTCAGTAGGGTCCTCTCGCACTCTCCTGAGCACCTACTGCTCTGAAAACCCATGAGTGTCCCCTTCTCTGCCAGCTCCTCCTTGCAGAGTTTGGTGGTGCACTAGAGGATGGGCATCTCTGATAGCATCTCCAGTAGGTCTCCAAAAGCCCTCTCCCCCACTGCTATTCCAAATGGAGCACCAAAACATGTCACCTTTGCCCAAAGGGAAGCTCTGCCTCGCTGGAGGGAGGAATCACCAAGTCCTTCCCTGCGGGTGACTTTGGGGCTGCTGGTGGGGGCAGCTGGCAACAGCCCAGCCCGCGGGGGAGCCAAGCTCGTGACCTCCAGATGAAAGACACGGCGGGTTATCAGGACGCTGAGTCCTGCAGCCTTCCTGCAAGTTCCATAAATCTCACTTCTCATTGTATTTCTTCATTAAATGCAGATTAGATTAGATCACATGGTCTTTCTTTCACTACGAAGTAATTTGGATTTCCATTTAGTGGGCCCATCTGATAAACAGCCGCTTGAAATAACATAATTTCACCCAGCCTTGATCGCACTGAATTCATCTCGAACTTCTGGGCTCTGCCCGGTGCTCCCTGCTTAGCGGTGGCCCTTCCCTTGCAGATCTCGGCACCGCATGTGGCTGGGATTTCAAAGAGCTGGAGAGCTCATTTGGAGCCTGAAAGATGACTTCATATCAACTTTGTGCAGGGGGAGCTTCAAAACGGCAAGCGAGGACCTCAGGAAGTCCCCTCAACAGTTTATTTTCTGTTCCCCACTTTTATATATCACCTATATAGGTTTCACTTGGAGCCTTCCTTGGTTTCCCCAGTAAGTGCCAACAGGAGAGGGACCTCGGCATTGCCTTGCTGGGCAGCGAGCAGGGCTCGAGGAGAAGAGGAGGGATGTCCCTGGAGGGATGTCACTCCTGCTGCCAGCACCGCTTAGTTCATGGTAGGACATCCAAAGGAATGCGGAATAAGTGCCTGGTGTTGGCTGGAGTGGAGAAAGCGATGTGGAAAACGCTGATTTGGATAAGGGATGGAGGGAGTGCTGGAGCTTCACCAGTTACCACTGTGGCATTTGTGGCCTTCTGGTCAGAGAGCCCTGCATTCAACACAACCTGAACCCTCTTCTCTTCTAGGGCTTATCAGATGGGACATGATAGCTAGGTGGATAAAGGCTTCAGACGCCTCGACAGTCTGTTGATGGAGAGCTCCAGAGCAGCACAGCAGAAGGACCAAGCTCAGAGGTTCTTCACCCTTCTGGGGCAACAGAAGACACCTCGCAAATGATAATCTATCTGTGTTGGTTTTAATTTTTCCTTGCTTGGGTGAGAGCAAAGCTGGGGGCAGGAGGTGTGTATGTCTCAAACTCACATGGAGTCCCTGGCTGATGGCAGTGAGCAATTTACCTCCTCATCCGAGGTCCCTGGGCCACCCCAGCAAGCGGAGCAGTGGGAAAACCAAGCAGCTGTTACTCTGCCTATCTAGTAGCTGCTGCTGGGCTTAGATGCTCCAGGATTTCCCAGGTGCTGACCAGCCCAGGGACCTTGCTGGAGAGCTGGGACACAACCACAGGTGAGCACACAGTGTCCTCTAAATGGCTCCTTTGCTACCAAGAGGAACTGCCTGGCTTTCCCTGAGAGGGCTTAGCTCATCTCCAGAAGATTCCTGACTTTAAAGGAGATGCAGATTAATTCCCACACAGTGCCTTGCCTGAGCGTGGTCTCACAGGGGAGCTGAGCCGCTGCGGGCTCCATCACAGAGCTCCCATGGGTCCCACCACCCCCGGCGTCTTTGGAGCAATCCCTAGGTGAGGGGCCCTGGTTTGCTGGCGGCTGAGCGGTCCTGTCCCTGGAACAGCAGCTCTCTGGCTTCCAGGGAAGCTGCTCAGCTCTGTTCCCTGAGCAAGCAGGAGGCAGCACCGCTGCCAGCCTCCGTGGGCTTCCGAGCGGCAATGCCAGGCACCTACTGCCACTGCGGGACTGATTCGCACCCGGGCTCCGGGGAGGAAACCAGCAGCAGGCTAGTTTGGAAGCTGATTTGGAAGCGATGACATCTCAGATTTATGTCCTTTTCGCTAACCTCTCTCATAAGCCTTGCTTTGATTGTAAACCCAGCTGGTGGCTTTCCAAGTTTGGGAGGCAGCCTGGAATCAAACCCAGAGACAGGAAGGATGCCAGTCCCTGGAGCTGCCCGCGCAGCTACACTGCCTGCAGTTGTTGTCTTGCTGGAGAGCAGCACTGGGTGGCTTCTTTGAAATGAGGACTTTTCTGTGAGGCTACTGAAAAGTTGCAGGCCCAAACAGTCTTGGCGCTGCACGTGGGTCCCTTCACAGGCACCAGTGTGGTCCCCACTTGAGGGCTGAAATGCCCTCTCTGACAGCAGAGATCAGCTGGTGATAAGCAGTTGAAGATGACACTGAAGCATCCAACCCCCAGGGAGCTCCTCACTTAGAAGCTTTCTCCTCAGGGAGTTGTTTTTTCCCTGGAAGCCATTGTCCCCCTCAAACCCAGTCCCCTTCTTGTATTGCAGGTCGTGGGCTCTCTCATGGTTGTCTCCCCTCCGCTCTTTGGCTCGAGGCCTCTCCGTGAAGAATGGTGGCTTCCTCTTTCCGCTACGGGGTGACCATCACCGGGGCCGTGCTGCTGGTGACGGGGACGCTGTGCTTCGCCTGGTGGAGCGACGGCGAGATGGGCGCCGTGGCCAGCGGCGGCGCTCAGCTGGTGCCGCCCCGGGAAGCCCATGCGGTCGCCAGCTCCTCCTCGTCCAACGCGCTGCTCCGCTCCGTCAGCTTCTTCTGCTGCGGGATCGGCGGCATCCTCCTCCTCTTTGGGCTGCTGTGGTCCGTGAAGGCCAACGCCAGGGTGGTGTCGCGGCGCTACCAGTACCACTTCCCCAGGGACCTCCAGTACTTCACTGCGGAGCCCCTTGAGAAATGGAACTGCAGGTTAGTCCCTGCCCGAGCAGGTGCTGGGATGGGAAAAGGAGGCAGGAATGCATCTAGGCTGGAAAAGAGCAGGAAGTTGAGGAGCCCTGAAGTCCTGGAGAAGTCACTAATGGGAGCATAATGAAAGTCATCCCCTTTTTCAGAGCTTCATCAGTTTGGGAGAGGGATTGCAATGTCAGCTCTACTGATGGTATTGGTGACCATACTCCAGCAGCTCCTCCCAAGCCTGTTCCCTCCATGAGCAACAAAACATCTTTTCTATTGAAGTGTCATTGCTTTCCAGGGTGTTCATGACCACAAGATAAGCAGCACTCACATTTAAGTGAGAATATAGTTAAACTTGCCCCTTGAGGTGGGTTCCCAGCCACCTTGTGCACCAAGGACAGACACCTCACATACCTTTTAGCCACCGCTTTGGTGTTGCTGGTTCTTCCAGCTTTTATCACAGCCTTGGCTGTTCCTCCTCATGCTGGAACTGCTGGCATGGAGTCCTGGCAGCAGAGGAGGCTGTGAAACGGGACCCAGCATGGAAATGGAGAACCCAGCTGCTCGGGGGCCTGCCTGGCAGCCCGGCTGTCCCACGGTGCTGTACCTGGTGCAGGCACCACCATCCCCTGCAGACAGTCCCACTCTTTGGCACGGTAAAGGGCAGAGTTGGAGCACAGTGACCCTGCTGTGCTGGAGGTAGCTCAAGTTGTTGCATTAGGGAAAGTCCAGCAATATCATCTCGTTATATGTTATCTTTAATGGGAGCAAAGTGTACTTTTAATTTTTTTTACAAATGAAAGGAAAATAGTTATAAGACTGGCATTAAGTAGAAGGGAAATGGAGGTGGAAGGAGTCTTTCCAAGGCCTGCTTGCATGCGTAGGAAGACCCCTTGCATGGCCCTGAGTGACACTATTGCTCATTTAATCAGAATCTCCCTGTGTGTCGCGGAGATTTATTCCCACTTCTTAATTAAAATTATTTCGTTTCGGAGGATGCTCTGAACAGAGAGGCACCAGTGCAGCACTGTGGGTCACAGCAGAGATCTCAGCTCTAGAATAAATCAGGCTCTGGGGAAAAGTCAGAGGAAGCTGGAATACATAAAAAACTTGCCAGGGTGGGCGGCGTAGTTGGGTTCCCCTGGGGTTTTGGAGCCCTTCCAAGGATGTGGGAATGGGATAATGACTGGGGAGCAGCAAGGGGTTTGCTGCAGTTCCTGGGTCCTGCAGGGAGGGGAAGGTCCGGGGCAGCTTGCTGAGGTGTCGGGATGCTCGGGATGGGGAACAGGTCGGGGTTTGGCCTCAGCTCCCTGCGCTTGCCTTGCAGCGGCTGGGACGCCAGCGCCATCCCCAGCTACGAGGAGGCGCTGAGCTGCCGCCCGGCGCCCGGCACCGCGGCCTACGTGCGCCCGCCGCCCGGCACCGCGGCCTACGTGCGCCCGCCGCCGCCGCCGCGCAGGGAGGAGGCCGCGGCGCCGCCCTCCACCAGGGACCACGAGGATGAGGAGGAGGCCGAGGGGCGCTGGCAGGGCGGGCGGCGGCGCAGCTCCTCGGACGGCGCCCTGTGCCGCGCCGGCGCGGGCTGGGCGGGCTGCGGGCGCCCCGGCGAGGCGCGGGCCACGCCGCCCCCCAGCTACGAGCACATCAGCGCCGGCGGCCTCTGAGGCCGGGGCGGCACCGCCACAGGGTGTCCCGCGCCCCTCGTAGTCCCTCTCCCGCCGGCTGCCGCACCGGGGAGCGCGGCGGCCGCGGCGGAGCGGCCCTGGCTCGCTTGCTGCTGCGGCGCGACGTGCGGCGCCGCGGGGGGACCGGCCGTGGCACCCAGCTCCGGACACCGGGACACGGAGGGGCTGTGTGGGTGGCTCTGGGGGGACAGGAGGGCACGGAGGCGTGCGGAGCATGGCTGCCCCTGTGCTTGTTCTCCCCATCGCCTTTCACCTCGCCGTGAGGACAAAGAGCACCGGCGTGGGGCAGAGCAGCCTGCCCGACACCCGTGGTTCCGCTGTCACCAGCGTCCCCATCAGCCCCTCCACCTGCTTAACGCGCCCCCCATCCCCGCTTTGTTGTCCCCGAATTTGGCCTGCCCGCTCCTCACTTCGCCCTGTCCCGCTGCTCAGCGCTGCTGCGTGTCCCGCATGCGCCTGCCGTGTTGGACGGGGCCGTGACGGGCGCCCCGGAGCTGCGCGGCTCCCTCTGCCTGCAATAAACACCTTGGCCTCGGTGCCCAGCCCGTGCCTGGTCGCTGCGTCGTGTCGCACCGCGGGCGCTTCCGGACGTGCCGCAGGGAGGGTTTGCGCCCTGGCGCGGTTTGGCAGTGTCCATGAACCCAGGACTGCTGCAGGAGGAGGGTGGGAAGGGGCCGGGATTGCCCTGTGGGATTGCCCTGCTTCTTTGGGGTCTGGGGATACACTCTGGGGTCTGGAAAGCCATAAAAGAGCCTCACGAGTTGGCTTGGGCCACTGCTCCCTCCCGGGGGCTCCAGCTTCATGTCCCAGCTGCTCTCCGCAGTGTCCTGAGAGCTCCGGATGAGCCACCGGGGAGGGAGCTGGGAGCAGAGGTGCCCTGGCTGCAAATCCCCTTCCCTCCCTCGCGCTTCCCGCCCCATTTGCAGGAGTTCTGGCCATGGAAGCAGCAGCCCGGGTTTCGCAGCGTGTCCCACGGGGCCTCGGTCACTGCCCCGTTTTGCGCCCCGCTGCTCGGCCGCTGCGGCCGCGCGTGCCCCCAGGGAAGGTGATCCGGGTGCGTGGCGGGCGGCTCCGCCGGGCCGGGAATTTCGGCGGCGTGTTTGCATTCATTACAAGCCCGTTAAAAACCGGCTGGCTCAGCCGCGCGCAGGAGCGGGCAGCCCGCAGACACCTCCCCTCGCCTTGCCCCGCGGGCGCGCTCGGCGCTCAGCGCTCGGCGCGCGGCCCGGCCCAGCAGCAGGGCTGCCGTCCCCGCGCGCCCATGGCCGACGAGAAGACCTTTCGCTACGCCTTCATCATGCTGGGCTTCTTCCTCGTCATGACGGGGCTCTTCATCATGAGCGTGGACAAGCCCCACATCTACATCACCTTCTGCACCTTGGGCATCCTGCTCGTGGCCGTGGGCATCACCTGGAGCATGTGCCAGTGCTACCCCAAGGTAGGGCCCTCCGGGGGCTCCCCGGCACCCTCCCCGCAAGCGGCAGGGAATGAAGGCCAGGAAACCCACTTGCTTTCACCTCTCTTCCATGGGAATCCTCCCTTTTCCCAAGGTGACCTGGGGTGTAGCTGCACTTGAGGGGTCACATGGAAGATGTGAGGGTGAAATGTCCCTTTGGCAGCTCCATGTCTGCATGGGGGGCGCAGGGCTCCGAGGTTCTGGATGCTTTTGAGTCCTCACTGTGGGGCACAGGGCTCGGAGGCTCCGGGTGCTTTTGGGTCCTCGCTGGCAGGTCTCCTTGGCAGAGGACATTGCCTGCAACACGTCCCTTCCCCTGGGAAACTGGCCTGGCAGAAAAGACTCCTTTTCTCCCAGTTTGCTCTGCAGATGGTGGGCACTTTCCTTAATCCTCCATTGATTCCCCTCCTAAAAAACTCATATCCGAGCACAACATGCAGGCGGGAGGCTGGGTGTCACACTGAGGTTGCGGGGACTCCCCGTGCCACCACTGCCGGCTCTGCCTTTCCTCTGCCCCCAGATCACCTTCGTCCCCGCGGACTCGGAGACGGAGCAGTTCCTCGTGCCCCGTGCGGTGCTGCCGGCGGCGGGGGAGAAGCCGGGGAAGCAGCGGTACGTGGGGGCGCCGGCGGGTGGCCCGAGGGACACGGCTGTCGCTGCAAGGCCCGTGCAGCCCCGCTTTGCACCGTGGCCGGATGCTCCTGGGCAGCCACAGGGAGTGGGAGAGGACAGGGGCGACGCGTCGGGGACGGGAGCCCCACACCGTGCCCGTTCCCCCCAGCCTGCAGGCTCCCGACGGGCGCCGCGAGGAGCCCGGCGCCTACGAGAAGAGCCTGCCCACGTACGAGCAGGCGCAGCGGCAGGCGGCCGCCGAGGTGCACCCCGAGCGGCCGGGCCCCGCGGCCGCCCCCCACACCAGCCTGCCCCGCGGCGGGACGGCCGCCGGCGGCAGGTAGGTGACACAGCAGGGAGCAGCCGGGGACACGGGGAGGTGGCGGCCCTGCCCGCAAGCGGCGGGRGGACGGATCGCATCCGATCGCGTTGTGGACGTGCCAGCAGCATCCCTGCGGCATGAATCCCATTTGCCGGGTGGGACCTGCCCCTGAGCACGCAACCCGGCTGCATTCCCGGATGCCTCCCGAATGGTGCACAGGAATGCCAGTGGGATAGCCGGGAACGTCACGGGGGTGGTCTGGGAGGTCCCAACAGCGCTTTGCAAGYGGCAATAACCCTGACGTAGCATAGGAGGCCGGGGGGGCAATTGCCTTTCTTGACTAAGTGACCTCTGTTGTGTGTGGTTTTGGGAGCACAAACCATGTTAAACCTGGCTTAGCTCCCATGGCAGGAGGGGCTTTGCACCCTCTTTCATCCAAAAGCCTTTGGGAGGAGAGTGCCCAGGCGCGGGGTCCCTGGGTGCTCACACACGCAGCCGTGCACCCCCCAGYCGTGCCATGAAATTAAGAAGTGAATTCCGGCTCATTCTCGGCCGCTCCTGCAGCGCAGGATGGGGGCGGCGGGGTGAAACCTGCCGGCCAGCAATGTCGTGGGCAAAACAGAGCGCCGCCCCGCCGCGTTTACTGTAAACCTGCTGCGGGGACCCACAACAGCGCCGGCCCGTCCCCGTCCCCGCCGCGCCCGTCACCGCCGTGCCCGTCTCCCGCAGCCCCGCGGCGCCGCTCGCCACATTCCCCGAGGAGCTGGACGGGCCGTCGCCGGCGGGCTCGGCGCCCGGCAGCCCCGGCACGGCGCGCGACGACCTCTACTACGGCCTGCACGAGGGCTGGGACACACTGGCGGCCGACGGCGARCTCCAGTTCGAGCCCGAGGACTAGTGGAACGGCGCAGCCATGCCGAGGACACTGCAGGACTGGAGGCAGCCCTGCCGCCTGCGTCCCGCCTGGAACACCACTGTTTCACTGGGATGTGCGGGGCCGGGAGAGGAAAGCACAAGGCGCTGGGCAGCGATGGCAGCGCCAGCTTTGCCCGCCCTGGGCTGCTTGATGTGCTGCTGGCAGCAGGGACTGGCAAAGCCTTTCCCCCCATCGAYATCGAAGATCCCCAGGGAATTAAACCCACTTCTGGGACAGCTGGAGTCTGGTGTCTCTGCCATGGTGACGGGGGGTTTGGAGGGATTTGCTGGCCACGGGCAGCAGCGGTTAAACATTGCAAGGAGCGGGACATTCCTGCATGAAATTAGGGCTTCGAAGGCCCCGCTTGCTCCCGAGACGAGGCTGGACAGAGCAGCAGCTTCCCCGTGTGGGCGAAGCTCCCTCCTGGTGGCACCCGCCTGAGGGGATATCGCATGGACAAGTTTTGTCCTCAGCCCAGGAGGGACCCAGTACCCAGCTCTGCTGCTCAGGGCACTGTGCTTCTGTACCAGCTTCGCCCCCAGATGGGTGCTCAGTGGCCTCGCTGCTGTTCCCTAGTGGGAAAAGCCCGTTTCCCACAGAGAATCACCAGGGTCCGTGGCACGTCCAGTTCAAGCCACTGGCAGCAGCAGGGACTCGCGGCAGCCCCGCCGTCCCTGCAGGAGCACTGAGGTTTCTCCGCTCTCCCCAGGTGCTGCGAGACAGGCACAGCCCGGTCTGTTGGCTGCGCTGCCGCCTCTTGCAGGAGCCGCTCTCACCAAAGCGGGCTGYGGTGGCTGATGCTGCTGGGTCAGTGCCCACAAAGCTGCAGGGAGGGCTGTGCACAGGTCCCTGGGCTGGCACTGAGCCCTGCACACTCGCAGCACCAGTGGTGTAGTGGTATCATGCAAGATTCCCATTCTTGCGACCCGGGTTCGATTCCCGGCTGGTGCACGGCCCCAACAGACCCTGCCAGGACTGTGTGGGAAGCATTCCCAGCAACTGCAGCAGGGCTGTGCTTTTGTTTCCTTTCCCTGTTCACCAACAGCGGCAGCTGTTCAGGCCCTTTCCCAGATGCTGGTGACTCTGCTGCTCTTTTGCTCCCACCTTCTCCCTCTCCAAGGGGCTCTGTCCTGCATGGATACCCCAGGCCTGCCCCTGGRTGCTGGAGCCTGGTGCTCTTGACGGCTGCTCCCTTTGCTCTCAGGACACCGCTGGGCTCAGGGACCTGAGGTGGCCAGGAGGACATCAGCGCTGCCAGGGCTCCCTGCATCCTCAGTATCGCCCTGTGCTGAGAYGGGAACGGGATCATCTKCAAGGAGATGGAGCAGCGGAGCAGSATAGGCCCCGYGCTGTCAGCTCTGTCCATCCCTTCCCTGCTCACTTCATGCTCCGCTTCGTGCCCCAGGGACAGGGAGCRAGTGGGGCTGGGCACTGGCACCCATCATCTCACTGCAGTGGCCCAAGCTGAAGGACCAGCCCGGTGGGGCTCGGGTCGGCCCCATGGCTGGCATCTCGTGAGAGCTGCCTCTGCCTCGTCCCTCTAACACATGGGTTTAATGAAGCCACTTAATAAAGCGGCTCCCAGCCCCCATGTGAGCCACAAGCTCGTGCTGCTTCTTGTTYGCCGCGTGCTGATCCTGGCTGATTCCTGTGGCACAAATGGGCACACGGGGACTCAAGTAGTGGCTCCAAGGACAATGTTTTCCCCTGGGAAACTGAGGCATGGAGAAGTGACCTTGCCAAAGGACAGCAGGGATGGCAGCAAGGCAAGGGCATCAGCAAGGGCATCAGCAGGGAAGGCAGCAAGGGCATCATCAGGGATGGCAGCAACGGCATTGTCAGGGAAGCGAGGGCAGGACGTGGGTACGGGCAGTCTGCACATTGCAGCCCTGTCACAGACACCTCTCCTAAGGGCTTAGCCGATGAGATGTGTGGAGAAATTGCACGAGAGCAATGGGAAAGGAGCAAACATGTCCTGGAGGGGAAAAAAAAATTAAAATAAAATTGCAATGTGTGACGAGTCTGTAAAAAATGTGCAAACAGGATTAGATGAAAATTCGCCTTGATGAAAATTCGCCTCTGCAGTAAGCCAATAAGGGAGACATAAAAGATTTCAGTGCCTCCTGCAAACAGCCCTTCACCGTCAGTGTTTTCTTGCCAGGACCCCCAGCAACGCGTGGAWATTTGGGTCAGATTTCATGCTAAGTGGTCAGAAAGAGGCAGCCCGGGTCAGAGCCACGGGGCACACTCCTCCCATCGCGGCTCCGGGTGCCCCCGGCCCCGCTGCTCCGCGCGCCGTTAATGTTTAACCGGGCCGGTGGTCCGATGGCCGCGGCGGTGGCGTGATCGCGCCGGGCCCGGGGGCGGGCGGCCGCGGGGGGGCCGCTCCGTGCGCCGCGGCCGCCCCACTCGTGCTGCGCGAGCGGCCCCGCGGGGCGACAGGCTCCGCGCTCCGGGAGCTCCGCCGTGCCGGCAGCTCCGCGCGCCGAGAGGCGCCGCGCGCCGGGCAGCTCCGCTCTCGGAGAGGCAACGCGGTCAGGGGCGGCTCCGAGCGCCGGGCAGCTCCGAGGCGGCTCCGCGCCCTGGGCAGCTCCGCGCAGCTCCGCACGCCGGGCAGCTCCGAGGCGGCTCCGCGCTCCGGGCAGCTCCGCGCAGCTCTGCGCTCCGGGCAGCTCCGAGGCGGCTCCGCGCCCTGGGCAGCTCCGCGCAGCTCCGCACGCCGGGCAGCTCCGAGGCGGCTCCGCGCCCTGGGCAGCTC